ACTAGGTACATTGAATTTTTATATCCCAATTTCCATTCAATTGCAGCATAATTGGGATTTTTGACATAATTGCGTTTTTTCAGAAGATTTGTAGAATTTTTAGCCGTTTTTTATTTGTGAAAACAGAAAATAAAGCATCTACAATCAGAATACAAATAATCTATAATTTATCTACAAAATATCTACAAATTGGGTACATTGAATTTTAATATCCCAATTCCCATTCAATTGTAGCATAATTGGGATTTTTGACATAATTGCGTTTTTTCAGAAGATTTGTAGAATTTTTAGCCGTTTTTATTGTGAAAACAGAAAATAAAGCATCTACAATCAGAATACAAATAATCTACAATTTATCTACAAAATATCTACAAATTGGGTACATTGAATTTTAATATCCCAATTCCCATTCAATTGTAGCTTAATTGGTATTTTCGACATACTTGCGTTTTTTGCAGAAGATTTGTAGAAGTTTTAGTCGTTTTTGATTTGTGAAAGAAAACAAAGCATCTACGATCAGAATACAAATAATCTATAATTTATCTACAAAATATCTACCAACTAGGTACATTGAATTTTTATATCCCAATTCACATTCAATTGTAGCATAATTGGGATTTTTGACATAATTGCGTTTTTTCAGAAGATTTGTAGAATTTTTAGCCGTTTTTTATTTGTGAAAACAGAAAATAAAGCATCTACAATCAGAATACAAATAATCTAAAATTTATCTACAAAATATCTACAAATTGGGTACATTGAATTTTAATATCCCAATTCCCATTCAATTGCAGCATAATTGGGTATTTTGACATAATTGTTGTTTTTCAGAAGTATTTGTAGTAATTTTTGACCGTTTTTTATTTGTAGAAAACAGAAAATAAAGCATCTACAATCGAGGAATACGAAATAATCTAACGAAGTTTATCTACAAAATATCTACAAATTGGGTACATTGAATTTTATATCCAATTCCCAATTCAATTGCTAGCATAATTGGGATTTTTGACATAATTGCGTTTTTTCAGAAGATTTGTAGAATTTTTAGCCGTTTTTTATTTGTGAAAACAGAAAATAAAGCATCTACAATCAGAATACAAATAATCTACAATTTATCTACAAAATATCTACAAATTCTACAATATGTCTTCTTCTTCTTCGAGTTTAAATCTGAAATTCAGTCAAAACCAAGTCTAATATTCACCAAAACCCCTCAAAATTGAGATATAAACTCCAAACCATATTCCCGATTATTTCAACAACACTCAATCCAAACAAATAATAATTTTTGAAAACCCAAATTTGAATTCAAAGCTTTCAAGCTTTTTAATGGCTGTCAATGGTGGAAAATATCTGGAAGAATATTTACTTCCATAATTGTAGCGCGCCTAAACAGGAAGATCTGGAAGAATATTTAGTTCCAGATTTGTTGCGCGCCTAATTAGGAAGGAATCAGCTCCTAATAATTGGTATTTAATGAATGGTATATATTTTGTAGAATAACTGTGAACATGGCGGGTAAATATGAAACTATGCACATTTTTGATAATAAGGTTTCATATATGGTATAGAAAGAAAAAAGTCTCTTACAGAAGTACTAGGTGTTAGCAAGGATAGATTATGCAAAGGGTAATTTGGAAACTCCTATCTCTTGGTCTCTCTCCGTTGTCTGTTTCTCTATCCCCTTTCTTTCTTTCATTCTTTATGTAATCTTCATTTTCCTCTATCCAGTTTTTTGAACCGTACCTTGTAATAGCTTCTTCAATATATCAGTAATCAAATCACATTTCTTAGGCTATTGTTATTGAGGGTTGATAACAAATATCCACCAAAAGCACAAGATAGTTTGACTGTATACTTTAATCTAAAACGTATCATCCGAACAGCCACAACACCATCCCCTTGGAAACATCACTCTGAATACATAAGAAACTACCAGAATATATACTTCAAAAGTATAAAGGCAACTCACTGAATATATGAAAATGCATTTACACATTGCTATATATATGCCCACTGACCTGTGAATTTCCTATAGAACACAAAAGGCAACTCATTCAATATATGAACACATCCAACTTAGATAGTTCCTCATTCCATAACTCCATTAATTAAGTTGCAGCACACATTTTAAGATAAGATAAAGTAGGATGTGAAGTTCCAAAATACAAATTTCACACAGCTTTTAGCCTATTTTTGTAAAAGGTATGTCGCCCCACATTCTTTCAACATGTCACAACACCAAGATGTATATAAAAGAAGCATACTCTCTACCAAATGAACATCATCACAATTATATGCTATTGCACACACACAAAAAAAAGAAAAAAGAAATATTAAAAAGGTACTAGAAAAAAAAAGTTTCATTAGATTCTTTAATTCGTAGTACGTTTACTTTTTCCTTATTTTTCATTTTTATGTTCTCCATCAATGCCTGTATGGGGAATGGGATATAATTTAAAGAAGTTGATTAAACTTAAAATAGAAACCAGGTAGGGTTGTTTGCTATAATAAAATTAGAAAACGGTAAAGCTAATACATAATGGACCAATTCATCTGTTTATAGATTACAATATATTTTTGAACACAAATTATGAAAAGGAGAAATTTTGGTGTAACGTTTAAAACACGAGAGAGACTGCATAACAAGTCAAAATCTCACATAGAGATATGTGTAATTCACTCTAAAAAAATACTCCTATATAAAAGGTAAAAGATTGGAACATAAAGCGATATTTGAGCTGTAAATAAGGAAATATAATAATCAAATCCCTTTATTCAGAGCACATCTTAAGAGTTAAGAAACTCAATTGGAGAGGAAATCGGAGTAATTCATGGCAGCTTGGCTCTTTGATTACAATGGAAGGGTCTAAACTGCAAGAGTCGTGGCATTTTGAAGTCTCAAATGTCAATTTATTTTATTCTTTATCGTGGGTAATATCTGTAATTATTAGAAAATCACGGGGCCTAACTCACTTTTTAAATTAAAATTTTCTTTCCACGTTGGTAGCTATTGTCTTCTAATGGAACAGAAGAATATGTAAGAAAGCAGTTAATCGTTCCCGCAGGTCCATGCTATCCCATGCACTCGCATCACGTGGCCTTGTCGAGAAATCGATATTAACCTTAACATAGTTTGTCTTTGTGATATCCACTATTTATATGATAAAGAGTTAATTCAATTTAATTAATATTATTATAACTTTCGAAAATTTAAATAGCTTACATTAGAAATTACTCCAACAAGTTACTAAGTTTACCAGCAAAATTAAAATAATAAGTCCAGTACAATAAATCCAAATACTAATCTATATATAATTAAAAGGAGAGGAAAAAGCCCTCTCCTTAAGCCAAGTGGCAACCTAAAAAAATGCCACATGGCATAATTAGTTATTTAGTTTATAATTAGTTATTAGTTATCATTTTTGAATTTAAATATATATATATATATATATTAATTGGTTACTTTATTTGAATTAATAAATACAGATATCTTATAATTAAATATATAAAACAACGAAAAATAAATATATATAAAAAATAACTACACATTCAAATGGGGTGGGAGTACTTTCAAGTTTGAGTTTTTAAATTATTTTAAAAAAAACAAAAAAAATTTACCAATAAAAAAAAAGAAAAAAAAGAAGAAAAACTATCCATTCAAATCATGAAGTAGTTTCAAGTTGGAGTTTTAAAATAATTTTAAAATAAAAAACGAAATTAAATAAAATAATGAATTACTAATTCATATTGGGGAGTAGTTTCAAATTAGAGTTTTAAAATTATTTAAAAATAAAAAAATAAAAAATCTATATATATATATATCATAATATAATATGTGTATAATATATAATATATATATATATATATATATATATATATAATAGGAGAGTCAAAGAAATCTATATCTATTTATATATAATATGAGAGGCAAAGAAATGTTATAATGACAAGTGTCATAATTTTNCTTAAGAACTCCGGGCAGTGCTTACACCAAAATGTATCACCATATTAAACCAAAGTGCAGTGTGGAAGGGCCAGCCCTCAGGTGTCCAAGTTCAGAGGGAACTCAAGGTCCCAAGGAAGGCTCACAAGAGGGGGGACAGAACTTAGGAACTAAGAGGGAGAGTGCAAGTGGAGAATTCCAAGAGGGAAAAGGGAAAGGGAAACAGTACACACAGGGATATAAGGAATGGGGAATTGTAAGAGATAAATGCAGGATAATGGGCATAACCCAACAATGAGAGATGCTGGATAATTTAATAGCAACGACACACATTAATTTGTCAAGAAGTGCATATCCATATTTTATTTGTTTGCACTTAACAAAAATTTGAATGTTAATCATTTAAATTTTAATCATATACTTATCAAGTATCGAATATAGTAAAGGCTAATTTTTTTTTTCTTTGATTAGTTGATTCCACATGGTTTGTCTTATCAAACAAAGGTCAATCAACAACTTAATTGTATTAAGAAACAATATTAGTATTATCATAATGTTTTATGATTGAAGCTTTGCGATGCACGTGACAATTCATTAGGCAGCTGGCTTCACGGTAAGCAAGTAGACTTATACGTGAGAAATTCAAAAATAGTCAGATTTATAAGTGATCATTCAAAAATAGCCACAGTTTTAAAAGCCATCGAAATTTAATCACTTTTTGTGTAAAGATAAATTTAAATGAAAATACTGTTCAAAATCCGAAAAATAATCCAGCATAATATATTGGAATTACAGTATAATATACTGGAGTTTGGAGTTCCAATATACTTTGCTGGAACTCTAGTATACTATACTGGAGCCAACAAAGTATACCGGTCCAGCATATTATGCTGGAAGTTCATACACAGGTGCACCGAACTCCAGTATATTATGCTAGACCGGTCTCTGTTACAGCAAAATATACTGACTATTTTTGAATGACCAGTCCGAAAACTGGCTATTCCGTGCTATTTTAACGACTCTCAAGCATAATAACAATGCCCCTTCATTTCACGGGTCAATATCAAAGAAGAAAAGATAAAAAAGAATTAAATATTCGACTTTCCTTTACTCTCTTACCTGCATAGCTAACTCTACTACAGATTATGAATTTATGGCAAGTGCCCACAAAACCACAAGGGAAGTACAAGATTTGAGTGTGAATGCAATGAGTTTGTAGGGGGAAAAACAAGAAATTGGAGGAAGCCAAAAAGTAGCATTTGGAGTTCAAAATGCTGAGATTCCATTATGGTTTCTTCTTCCTTTGCTTCTGCGTGGGTCTTCAGCTTGTCTGCTCTCGCCGTGGTCAGCCCCTTTTCTTTGTTTCTAGTGTGAAAATGGGTCAAGTCATTTTACTGGTTATTTTACTATGAGACTTGTTATCGGATCTATGTGGTTTAGTTACTGGACTAGAATTTACTTACTTGCAAGTAATTAGTTTTTTATTTTTATTTCTGTGGATTTGTCTAGAAGTAGTAATATTGTGGTTCTCATTGATTGTGATTTTGCAATGAACTTGCTTCGCTTTTTTTCTATCGTTATTGATTTTTTAAAATAGTTTGAAAGTACTGATTTTAGCTTAGTTCTGCTGCTTTTGTTCCTGAGTTTATATTTTGGATCGTTAAACTGTTTTTTTTTGTGTGTGTGAGACTTTTCAAGCTCCAGTGATCCTTAAAAGATGTTAAGGGTAGTCTATCACTGCGGTTCAATTTCGTGAATCAGTTTGGAACAGTTGTGGTCAGCTATATAAATCTTTTATATTTGTTCCACTCAGGGGCATACGCAAAACTTTTCGTAAGCGGTGTCACAATTAATTGATGGCCGGTGACCCGAAGGAGTTCGGGGAGATGACGAAAATGAAAAGCAAGTATAGTAGCAGCAAACCAACATAAATAAAAATTGCAAATTCAAGGAGGGGGGTTTTCCGAATTGAGCCTTTAAAAGATGTTAAATAAAATTGTTGTTGCTTTGCCCATTGCAAATCAGCATCTGTCCCATTGATTTATACTTCTTATTTTATTGGGGAGGCCAGAGGTTAGACTCCCCAAAAAATTTCAGCCCCTCTTTTTTAGAGAAGCAGTCTAAAAAACAAAAAAACAAAAAGTAACGTACGCTCAAGGGGGATCATTGATCAAACCATGGACCTTTGCTATCTTTATCAAAGGCTTGACCATTGAACTAACAGCTGAACGTTGTTAAGCGGTGTCACTTTAAATTATATGTACTCATTTACTATTCGCGTGTCATCTACACCAAAAATATTTGATTAAAATTGCTGATGAAGCGGTGTCACGTGACACCGCTTCGATCTACCTGCGTCTGTCCCTGATTCTACTCTCTTCAGGTCCATTTCATTCCAATACTAGATCTTTTGCCTTTTAAGTCAATTTGAGGGGTCTTTTGATCTCACATTTGTCCCTACACGGATTAGTATTCTCTAAATGAGTAAACTTCCGTAAATGCTTTTGTCATTGCTAGGTGTTGCACTTAGTTGATTTAGGTCGCCTTTTTCTTTGGGTCTTTTCTCGTTAAAGGTTGGAACTGAAGTGGGGTGTGAAAAGGAGTAAACATGATATTTTCAGGTGGAAACGAGCAAATAAGGGTAGAATCGAAAACCTGTTAAGCCTACTTAGATCTACTTTCCGCTTGGTAACAATAAGCTATTAACTGCAATCAAATCAAGGTAACATTAGTGAAAAATAAATGTTATTCCACCTCAAAAGTTCAAGCTGCTCCTGCTCCCTCTTAAGTGTATAGTCTGAAAAACTTGTCAGGTACCTTCGCGTGTACCTTTTTGTCCAATAAGAATAAGCTTTCAAGTGCATTCAGTCGGTGTAGCATTAGTGAAGATTAAAAGTTAGTCCGTCGCTGATATTCGAGTTGGACTTGTTTCCTCTTTAGCGTACCTGTTCTGTCTTCTCTGGATAGCTAGCGCTTTTATTCCATGATATTCGTAAACCTGCTACTAATGATTAGGCTCTTCAAGTTGGTATTTTGTTCACTAACTGTTTATTCACTGCAGAGCCATATGTAATGCGAATAAGCTGTGGAGCTCGACATGATGTTCATACTGCCCCTACAAATACCCGCTGGTATAAGGATTTTGCATATACAGGAGGGATACCTACCAATGGAACTCGCCCAAGTTTCCTTACGCCTCCACTCACTACGCTGCGGTATTTCCCTTTATCGGAGGGACCCGAGAATTGTTATAATATCAACAGAGTGCCCCATGGCCACTACTCAGTGAGAATATTCTTTGGATTGGTTAAAGAACCAAGCTTTGATGACGAACCACTGTTTGATGTTTCTGTGGAAGGCACCTTGGTTTATTCTTTGCCATCTGGTTGGAGCAATCATGACGATGAACGAGCATTTGTTGAAACAGTTGTTTTTCTTGATGATGGTACTGCCTCTCTTTGCTTCCACAGCACGGGTCATGGAGATCCTGCTATACTTGCAATTGAAATTCTCCAAGTAGATGGCAAAGCATACTATTTTGGTCCTGACTTTGGTGAAGGGACAATTATTAGAACTGTGAAAAGACTCAGCTGTGGTGCTCAGACTTCAAGGTTTGATGTTGACTACAGTGGGGATCACTGGGGTGGAGATCGTTTCTGGAGTTCAATCAAGACCTTCGGTCAGAATTCTGATCGCCCCATTTCTACCAAGAACAGTACAAAATTAGCTTCCAAAGCACCAAACTTCTATCCAGAAGCACTTTACCAAACTGCTCTTCTTAGTACTGACAATGAGCCAGAATTAACATACACAATGGATGTTGATCCCAATAAACATTACTCTGTTTGGTTACACTTTGCGGAAATTGATCCTTCAGTTACAGCCGTGGGACAGAGGGTCATGGACATCTCTATCAATGGTGACACTAAATTTCAAGATGTTGACATTGTGAAGATGGCTGGGGGTGTTAACAGTGCCGTTGTGCTGAATACAACAGTTGTAGTCAGTGGAAGGACCTTGACAATCACATTGCATCCAACAAATGGGACTCATGCCATAATTAGTGCCATTGAAATTTTTGAGATTATAATTGCTGAATCTAAGACATTACCCGACGAAGGTAAATAAGTTAAAGTTTTACACTTCACGTTTCTTGGATGCTTGTTCAGCGCTTAAAGTGGGAAAGAAAGATGTAATCTAAAGTTTGTACAAGTTTTACCAATGGAATAGCTTTCTCACTTTGTTATGCTATTGAAAGGGGCCAAGAGTAGTTCTGTATTCCTTTTTGACTCATTGGTTCAGCTTGTGCCATTAACATTCTACTGCTCTGATTATAGAAGTTACCTGACCTATTATTGATACTATTTTATCCTTCTTTACTTCTGCAGTCAAGGGTTTGCAGTCTCTAAAGAATGCACTTGGACTTCCCCTTCGACTTGGATGGAATGGTGATCCATGTGTGCCCCAACAACATCCCTGGAATGGAGCAGATTGTCAATTGGACAAAGCTAGCAATAAATGGGTCATCGATGGGCTGTACGTAATTAAGCTCTCTTTACAGAAGTTTCTATCTATATGTATGCTTTTGTAGTCAGGCATACGGTGTACATACGGGCATATTTCGACATAACTTACCCACACCCATCTATTTTGCTTGTATTCTTCATTCAAGTTCCCCACCTCAATCTATAGGTTTTGGTTGATAAGTTTCTGGACGACTTGGTGAATTATCTGAAAAACAGAATTATGAATTCACCCAAGTTAAATAGCCTGCCCCCCCCTCCCCCCAACCCCCCACCCAAAGAAAAACAGAAAAAGAGGTGGGGGCAGCTTTAGATTCACTTTTCTTAATTATAGAACCTCGCACATGTAGAGATTTTTCATCGTGTAAACATATGCTCTCAAACACTCACACAAAACACTCATTTTCTTTGTATTCTTTCCTCAAGTTCTACACCCCAATATTGTCGGAATTTATTTAGAGTGATTCAAAAATAATGTGCCTGCTGTTGAAAAGTCACAACATTTTCTGAAAGATATATCCAATTTATAGGACATAGGACATAGGACATATCTATTCACCAATTGAAGAGATGTATCAATCCTTGTAGGGCAGATCTATTCATTAATTGAAGAGATGTATTCAATCCTTGTTTGTTGATTAAATGTTCTTCTTAGTGTTCCATCTCTAAAATTTTTTTTAAAAAAAATCTAACATGTTTCTAGTGGTAAGTTGTTTAACGACTTGTCTTTCTCTGCTTTGTGTGTAATTCACTAATTAACACGTTCATTACACAAAGTAGGGAAAGCCAAGTTGAGTGTGTAAAAGGAAGTTGTGACAATGAGGTTGAATATTGAGATTGTAAGCAAAAGCCAAGGACTACGGGGATGCCAGAAAGGGGGCTGTGAAAGAGGATGGTGAGAAAGAATGGTGGAAGTGGCCAGAAAAGGGGAGTTGTGGCAATGCGGGAAGGCTTGAGTAATATATAAGAGGGGGATGAGGAAGAGGAGTTAGCTGATTCATTGTGGAGATGCAGCGCGCATTCTCTAACTAGACCAGAAAGCCCATGTGGAATTGGGTAAGAGCGTAGCAGTGAATTAGTCAGGACATCTGGTTTACTTTGGTTTTAGCCTTTTAGGTGATGTAGTGGTAACCATGCTTAATACAAACTGTAGGGATGGGCTGATTGGTCCTTTTTTATGAAGTATGGATTTTATCGAGAAGCATCCAGGAGACGCAGAGAAGTACAAATGGTGATCAGACTACATAAAGATGATTAGCTCCTGTACAAGTACGCTTTAACTCATAAATTTTAAGGAGCTAAGAAAATCCATAAATTGATCTAATTTATTTCCATTGCTCAGCTTACACCAATAAAAAGATTTAGAAGTATCTTGCCTTGAAAGAGTGGCTGGGAGCCTGGGTGTTGAAATCCCAGCAAAATATCTTTGGTTTTGATCTTATTCCATATACACCAAAAATGCAGGTTGGTACCATCTGTTACAACCTTTTGATGTACATTCCAACTCTTCATTGTCCCATCCATTGTATGTATCTTTCAATTTGTAAGGCATCACCCAGTATACCACAGAAAGATTCTAGAATATGTCCCAAGCATCCTTTGCAGCAGTATAATGAAGGAGAAGATGACACACATCTTCAGACTTCCATGCACATATAGCATCTCTGGCCCAAGATAAATCCTCTCTTGCTGTGGTTAATCCTATGTTAGGCAGGCTTCTGGCTCAAGCTACATTTGCTGGTACCTTTGTTTCCCATATCAGCTTCCACTGTCACTCGTCAACTATCTTGTGTTTTGTTGAATGTTATAACTTATACCATGCTTTCATAGTGAACTGTCCGGTATCATTGCTGTCACTTCATCCTGTCTTTCCTCTGAGAGTTTATTGTCACCTGTCCCAGCTTGGTCATCAATTCCATTAAGCCACTCAGTTTCCAGTCTGGCAATTACTACTAAATACTGTGTTCAAGAATTAACGCCTTTACATTGTATAATACTGGCCTGACGGTATCTCACAAACGGGAATAATTCAATGAATTCCTCTATTTGTGGGTTGCTCCCGACCCATTTATCATTCAAAACACTGATATTTTCACCATTACCCACTTCAAAGTAGACATTTAGCTGAACTCCTCCCACAATTTACTTATATACCTCCAAGGTGCTGCCCCATATGGAGATGAAGTTATATTTGGGCACCAGTGACTCTCCACCATATTTAGCTATGATCACCCTCCTCCGGTAAGCCTTATTGTCAATTATACTCCCACAGCCACTTCATTTAGCAAGCCTCTATTATGGATTTCTAGGTTTCTAATCCCAAGATCTCCACTTTTTTTGGCAAAGTGAGTACCCATTACTCCATTAGATCACATGAGCTGATCGTTATGGAGATGCAGATCTAATTCTCTAAGTAGACAAGAAAGCCCATGTGGAGTTGGAGGAGGATAGCAGTTGAATTCGTCAGGAATTTCTGCTTTTCCTGGGATTTAGCTCAGGCAAAGTACAAACTACTCCACCTTTAAAAAGTTTGCCATCCCTAGCTGTCATGTCAAATTTGTATTTGAGCATCAAATTATTATTTTTAATCTATTACTCCTATTTCCTTTTTAGTTTATCCGTAAAAGGATGGCACCTTTCTATATATAGAAACAAGGCCAAAATCTTAGATAGCCCCTTAAACTTGACACCTTTTGTAAAATAAACATATAAACTTTTAGGGTGACCAGATACACTTAAAATCGGCCAAAGTGTAATTTTTACACACCTCTGTCCATCTTGGCATACTGCGTGTTGTATGTTTACTGATGAGTGCGTGAGAACTAATTTAAAGTTGTTGACTCACAAAATTAACGGTAAAAAAGTCTCTTTATATAACCCATACCCTATATACTTTTCCCCAACTATTAAAAAAAGCCCTAGCCCCTAATATTCCTCTTCACCATTGCTGAAAACACCATTGAAGCTAAAAAAATTACAGAGGTCATTTTGTGTGTTTTCTTCTACATCTATCTTAAATTACAGTAAAAGCTTCCATATATTTTTCAACCTGTTATCTTCCTTCTCCAAATAAGTTGACGATGAGACTAAATAATGGGGCTATGCTCTGTCATTGTGGGGAAAAAGTAGTATTTAATCATTTTTTTTTGTTCTTGTTTGAAGAATGTTTCTAATCCATGTGAGGATATTTTGTACTGCAACTTTGTCTTTAGCTTTTTGACAGCAGCAACAATAGGCATTGTTTACTCCCTGCAAATTACTTGGTTTTTAATATCCAAAACAACTAAAGTTGAAGAAGCAACATAATAACATCCTACATCAATACACACTGGGCATAAGCACTTAATTTACATAGGTCTATCATAAACTAATTCCAAAAGGTCTAACCACCACATCTTTACTAGGTCATTCTTTCTTTTGATGAAGTAGCTTTNTAGATGATAGCTGATAGCTGATTGCATCATTATGGCTGTTGGGGATGTTTTAGCACTTGCAATAATATTTCTGTGATGTTTGAAGCTGGAAAGTGGTGATAGCTTTCTTGCCCTTCCATTTGAGACCATGAGGTATTATTTGGGATGGGAGTTGGGTCTCAGAAAGCGAAGAGAGAGAAGATGAGAAGACGAGAGGTATTATTTGGCTTTAGACTATTATTTGCTAACATGGAAAAGGAAATACACGTGTTAATATATTATTCGTTCATTTGCCATGTAAGTGGCGTTTGGACCTCACGCACAATCTCTAACATAGAGTGGTGCTTGAAAGTTACACTTTGGCCGAGTTTAAGTGTCTATCTGGTCGCCCTAAAAGTTTATATGTTTATTTTACAAAAGGTGCCAAGTTTAAGGGGCTATCTAAGATTTTGGCCTAGAAACAATTTAACTTTAAACTTCCCATTGTACCTATAATGAGATGATTTATAGCCACACAAGTGTCTATGGCATGTGTTAGACCAAAAGTTTCAAAAGTCTTCCTCTCTTCCTAAAACTCCGTGCCCTGGCAAACACCATCACATAAAATGGGACGAAGGGAGTAGGTCTTTTGAAATCTAAAATAATTCATGTGATATCGATAGTTTAATAGGCTTTTGTTTGTGATACTGATAGTTTCATCTCTTTACTATAACTTCTTACTTTTATAATTGGCCAGTTTTAAACAAAGTAAGATGAAGTGTTAGTTAAACCTTCAACTGTTACAATTCTTTTAATTCATATATTTTTTATCTCATTTCTTGGTTCCACTATGACAATATAATAGTGTATATTGTTATCAAGAATCTCAATCCCTACTTGTAATTTTTTCATTAACAAAACGTATGTTGTTATAAAGATGCGTTGTTTGGTGTTCCCGTTTCCCAAAATCTGCAGGGTTAGCATGCCTATGCTTTCATATTGTGTGGTATTTTCTTGCAAGCTTTTGTGTAATGAATGTCTTCGGAGGAGCCACATATTTGTCGCAAATCCTGTTATTAGAATAGTAAAGCATGGTGTCTCCATTGCTTCTGTTCTAATTCAGTCTCTATGAACTTTTTTTTATAAGGTAAAACACTTGATTGGTTCATTTCAACTTTATTTTTCTTGAAGTTTGCGTTAACTTTGTTACTATTTTCTAGATAAAATGTTCCCTCTTGTAATTTAACCGCTTCTGTCTGAAAATGTTCCCCTTTATCCCTTCTCAAAAAAAATATTCCCCTTTATCTTTACATTCTTCAGTACAGGTTTTTGACCAAATTTTATACTTGTCTACCATCTATATTGGCTTTTCTTGACACTATGTGAGTGGTTGAGCATCTTTTGTACGATCATTATTAACTCCATTTCTTTTTCCAACTGTTTTACCTGCAAGGTCAGTGGCTTGGACAACCAAGGTTTAAGGGGTTTCTTACCAAATGAAATATCTCGATTGCGTCATCTTCAGAGCATGTAAGTTAGAAACACAGCTGGCAAGTGCCTTCTGTTTTCTGAATATATGTTGCCAAAGACAAATACATGTTAAGAGGCAGTACATGACAGTTCCCGAAACATCTTTTGGCACCGCTTCCTTCTCAAATCTTCTAAAGCATCCCACTTTTCTGGATGCTCTATTCTTACATGTAGCATTGGAACGACCATTTCTAAATATGATCTCTTTTGACCATGCTTTCCTTGTGTGTGCTTTTACAGAAATCTAAGTGGAAACAGCATTCACGGGGCTATTCCCGTGGCATTAGGAACGATAACTAGTCTGCAGACATTGTGAGTAAAGCTTTCAGAGCTCATGTGCTTTTCACAATTAATTTCTGTATTCTTTCTGCCAGAGTAATTGATAATCAAGTTTGAAAGTAAGGAGTTTCTCAATTTTACCTTTTGAGGAGTGTTAAAACATATGACTGGTTGTTCTCTTTCAGTAATACCATAGCCCATTGTTCTTAAAGTGGTGCTGGTTTTTGCGCTGCAGTATGGTTATTCATTAGGAATGAGCTTGAAGATTAGGTTCCTAGTTTTGCTAATAGGAATAAGGAATAAGAGATGATATCTCGTTTTCTCTTTGCTAGTAATGGTAGACTGACGATTTTAATAATTTTGTGGATTGTGAAATACCAGTCATATTGCTCATTGTTGTTATCTTTATGGGAGAATACATTATAGTTGTAGTTTTTTGATAATGGCGCACCAAGGTGGTAGATGAGAAGAAATAATCTAGTGTTATTTGTCTCCGCTGGGACTTGAACCCTAGTCTCACTACATTGACTACTCGGCGACACCCTTGGGTGCGGAAAGAATGCAATATTTTGTGTATTAGAACAGACAGTATTACTTTTATTGAATCAAAGTGCCTCTACGATTGCTCAAGACGTCTCTTTTCAACTAGAAACGACATAAGATCATCTTGTTCTTTATCAAACTAGTGAAGGATATTCCATTAGGATATTCGATGTGGGATAATACTGGGTATGTTGTTGTTGTTGTAATGAAAAAAGGTTGGATCTTACCTGGTGAGTGGCTAACAAAGATTTGCACTACAGGGATCTCTCTTTCAATTTCTTCAATGGATCAATTCCTGAAAGCCTTGGGCAATTGACCTCATTACGAACACTGTAAGATACTTCAGCTTTTGATCAGTTGGGGACAAAAGAATGATGATAAAGAGCACTAAATTACTGGTTTGTTACAGGAATCTCAATGGCAACTCACTCTCTGGAAGGGTTCCTGCTGCATTAGGTGGAAGGCTCTTGCACAGAGCTAGCTTCAAGTATGTTTCCTATTATCATCATATTATTTGGCACAGTGCTTGTTCTTTGTGAAGCATCCTTTTAATATTCTATCAGATATGTAGCATATACAGGTGTTTTCTTTTATGAATTTCTTGTAGTCGCTCTTATTCGCCCGTTTTGTGGTGCAAATAACTATATAATGCGCAGCATCATGATTCCTTATGCCTTACGAACATTGCTGTGCTTAGGAGTTGTCTGACCATTTTCTAGCTGTCCTTATCATGATTATGCTGCCTGGAATCTGGATAAGTTCCTTAGCCCAGACTGTTTGCGCTAGCATGTACCAGTTTTATCCAAAATATGATGGCCTCGACCTAGCCTTTGAAGTATCCCTATAGCTGCAATCAGCAACCTTGTATTTTAGGCTGAGAAATGTAATTAAAACTTCTAGGGGCGTGTACCATGTGGTTTAATTGAAAAGCTGCAAAATTTCTGGCTTGTTGTTTCAGTAATCTATGGCAAAAATAACTTACGATGGATGCTTCCAGTTTCACTGATAATGCAGGCATTTGTGGTATTCCGGGATTACCAACATGTGGAACCCATCTTACGGTTGGAGCAAAAATTGGGATTGCCTTAGGGGCATGTGCAGCTATCCTCCTTATTGCTACCTGCATAACATGCTGGTGGAAGAGACGACAGAACATCCTCCGAGCTCAGAGGATTGCTGGTAAGATATTCTCATTTCAAACATTTGTCGACTCCGGATTGGTTACATGTTATGCTTTAACCCTCAATTAAGGCCACCTTTCAAATACATTGCCTATGTTTTGTTTCTAATCTGCTGCACCTGTAGAAAAATTGGAATTTGACCTGCATATACATTGAATGTGAGATGAAAATGGGAAAATATAGAATCCATTTTTTTTTTCCTTTTAAAATATGCTTGCTTATGGATGGATCATTCTGCGTTAAAATGGCGTTTCCAATTTTATCCAGCGAGAGACGCTCCTTATGCGAAGTCAAGGACCAGTTTCAATCGAGATGTACAAATGTCAAGAAGCCATAGTCACGAACATACTCGAACAGCTGCTGAGAATGGACCTCCCTTGCTTACCTGACTGATCAGTAAACAAGATTGCCAGATGCAATGCTACCGAAGATTGTTTTTGTGACTGGAAAGATGTGAATACTGATCATAGAAGATAGTTCAAATGGTTTTGCATTTAATACGTATATCTTATCATCAGATACGTATTTACAGATTTGGAGGAATAGAAAGAACGTTGTATATTGCTCACACTTTCTATAGTTTTGATTAAAGACACCATGTAGCATATAACTGTTAATTTGATAAATTGAAGATGAAAATGCCTTTTTTGTCCTAGTAATTTTACTTCTGTTCTTGCTCTGAAGATTTTGTTGTAGCCTTTTCACCTCCTTTTTCTTCTAAGAGGAAACTGCGAACCATCTCAGTGCACACCTGCATCTATGGCAAAAATAACTTACGATCAAAGACAAAATAAACATTGAGGGGTCCTTTGATTATCGGAATACGAAGAGTAACTTTGGAATAAATTTTGAAATTGTATTTACTTTATATTTGATTAAGGATATTAATTAATATCGGTATAAATTTTATGCTAAAATGATGATATTGGTTATCCTGTATAAAAAATGGGATAACAAATCCTATGAGATAATATCCTTAGAACCAAACGACCTCTAAATGATTATACCTACTAATATAACTATAGAAATACGTTGTGTACTTGGCGAATTTATTCCCATCCTTTTTTCTTTCTATATATATATAATACTATTATTATTGAAAAGTCAAATATTTCAAACAAATTTTTTTAAATTCGTAGTAATTTTTCTCTAATTTCTAATGAGATCTTTGAAAAATTCTAAAACAAATGTCTAGATGTTATAAAATACACGTTACGGTGGATGTTCATAACTCATAAATGAATAATACTCATATTATTCTTTGGAATTTTTACATACCTATACACTTGATAATAGGTGAATTTGACTAGAATCACGCACCGAATAATCACCTTCTTGTGAACTTTTAATGTGGAAAATGACAACAAAATGCTCTTATTAGTGCTTTACATGATTTGCAGGTGAAATAGGTGTAAGGAAGGCTAAGGAGCGGTTTTGGAGTCAATTATTGATGAAAAGAGGCTAATTGTTGAATTTCCAAAGTAAACCATTCAAAACAGGCCAAAATGCCCGGGTACAAGTTCCACCGCGGTTCTACCGCGACCGCGGTGAAACCGCGGTGGAAGGCAGTCTCTGAAGGTTGAAGATTCCGCGAAGGCGTTTGACCGCGGTTCTACCGCGACCGCGGTAGAACCGCGGTGGGTACAGAAAACTTCGGGGACTTAAGTGTAAAACACGGGATTTTTAGACCTAAACCCTATTTAAAACGCTAGACTTCGCCCAAAAGGGAGAGATATTAATTTCTAAGGGTTTTTAGCAAGAAAAACAATTGTGAGAAAGTACTCTCAACATCTTTCTTCTTCTCTTTTGATTTTATGATGAATTCAATCTTAGTTTATTCTCCCATAGTCATGAGTAGCTAAATTCCTTGTCTAAGGCTTTGATGGACCCTATTGAGTGATGAACTTCTTGTTTATGTGAATACAAATTGCTAGTTAAATCTTTATTTGTTCAACTTCGTGTTCGTTGTAGTTAATTGACAGGATCCTCAATTAGCTGTGCCTATTTAGTGTGCATAACTTGGAAAAGAGTGCATATTTAGGGTATTGTTGAACAACACCACTCCTAGATTATTAGAGGAATCTATAATTGCGGGTTTAAAGGCGGGATTAGGAATAACGAAGCCTTGGGTGCAATTTAAATTGAATTGTGCGAATTTAAGCAAGCTAGTGTATCTCGGGAGAGTGCAATAGTAGATTACTGTGATTACTTGGGAGAGATTTGCGGTAAGATTAGCGTTCATGATTGCTAGAGATGTGTGGGTAAATTTGTATGAGCATAAACAGAAGGGATTTCATCAATAGGGGAAATCATTGCCTTAGCTTTTTTTCATAATTGTTTACAACCTTCTAATTTAGTTATAGCCTTTTATTTACTTGCAAGTTAGTTATTAAAGAACAATCAACTGAGAATTTGAATATTTGGGAAGCTGGTTCTGAAGACTTGGTGGGTCTGAAGGTAGCAGTTGATAGGTTAACTCTCTGTGGGATTCGACTCCGGACTTGTAAAC